CATTTAAGGATCCTGAGTGAAACGTCGTCCACACTGGTGAATTATACCTACCTGGTGTGTCGTCAGTCGTTTGACGAAGACCTCACTTCTCTGCTTGGAAGGAAGTGATTGTCACCGGAATCGACGAAACTGGTTACCGATTGTCGCCCTGCAGCTACAGGCATATAAGCCTCACTAGCGTGCCCTGAAAGTTGATGGAGCGCATTCCGAATCACCAATCCTAGATCACCTTACTTCGAACAACTTGATATCTCCCGCTCAACAGGGATTACTCATTAACCGTTCTTGCGTAACGAACATGATCGAATTTCTGAACAACTTGGCCCGAGCCAAGAACGAGGGTCTCATATCAGAAGCCATATTCTTCGGCTTCACAAAATCCTTCGATCGGGTTTTGCCGCGTCCCGCTGCTCCAAAATCTAGAGTCTTGCGGGATTCAATGGAAAATCCCCCACTGGATAAGACAGATCATTTCAAGTGAAAATGGGCTCGATCTACTCTTCCCCAGCGCCCGTCTCCATTGGAGTTCCTCAATACTCCGTTCTGGGACCACTGCTGTTTCCGATATACGGCAGCGACCTTGCAGATGTTCTTGAGAGTTCATGTCCGGTTTTTGCGGACATCTTGAAATCCTGAAGTTCCAATGCCAGTGCCCTCCAAAATGGATATGGACACTGCGAAGCAGTGGTCGTTGGACTGGAACCTTCCTCTGAATGACGAAAAGTGTGTACATTTGTCAATTCGAGGAGTCACAGCGAACGTCTTTTTCGTGTATCGTGAGGAAGGGCCAGAAGACATCATGAGGATAGACACCGAAAAGGATTTGGGTATCTGGATCTATTCATACTTCTCCTGCTTGAACCACGATGAGAAATCGGTTTAAAACGGCGAATATATTCGCCGTTTTACGCATAATTGGGCTCCCAAATCCGTGGAATGGGAAACGCGTCTTGCAGTGCTTGACCTATTTTCCCTGGTGTTTCGTCACCTCAGAGGGGAGTAACTTCTTACTTAGGCCCTGTTTGAACAAGGCTTGGCCAACGTTTTTCTACCGTTGACCCAGCAAACACATGGCGGGGACATGGTAAGAGGATTTTCAACCTCAGAGCGCACAATTTCATTAGGCGAAATTTTTTCATTTCGTTTAGTCGCTCCGTGGAATGAACTTCCTCCGACTGTGGTCCACCCTCCTTCTAGAACCGCTTTCAAAGAATTGTTGGACACTTAATTATGCGAGGCCTCGCGCTGGCAAGCTTACTGCCCCGTGCAGAGAATTGAAAGGATAGTGCTACACCCTATTCCACTTGTACCTTTCAGGCGAACGACGGCCGCTGAACGACGAAAACAAAGTCGATCCGGGAAGCTTGGACAAAAGCCTCGATCATGTGTATCAATCCGTGAATCCGTGATGCCGGACCGCACAGGGGTCTTTTGACCAGATCAGTTGACCAATAGCACGCGAGTCAGGTGTATGGTCCTTTGCAGCGTCTGACTGTGAGCGGTAAGACGGTCTTAGCTTAGGTTTCTGCTTATCGGCGCACGGGCACATTCTCGTAGCCATAATATTTATTCCTAACTGATTAATGACATGTCGTGAGGAATGATCGTGGTACATTCATGGGTATCTGGATTTGCAGAAGATTGGGTCAGTTATATGAAAATAGACAAATGTATTCGTTCTGGATTCGAACGAACAGATCACTAAGACCAAAACATGGAAGAGAGTCCTGACATAAAAGCGAATGGGGGACTCGTGTGACATGGTATTATCTTAAGGAGACGTGGTCGTGTAAAATTCTGGCGTTTGTGATAATGGGATCATTATGATTGAAGCATATTAAAAATAAAGTTTTGGTACTGAATTGCATGTGATAGCCGTTACGAAAATAGAGTGACCATTCAGTTTTCAATTGAAAAAACGCTAGTGAAGTAAAGATGGACCACAATTCGCCGAAGTGGGGAAAAGTACGGATCCTGTCTCACGGATTGCCACACAGGATCGAGGCTTTCGCTCGAGCTTCCAGGCTAGTTTGTTGTGGGGAAAAGTACGGATCCTGTCTCACGGATTGCCACACAGGATCGAGGCTTTCGCTCGAGCTTCCAGGTCTAGTTTGTTCTTATCGTTCAACCTCATCCATTTACCTGAAAGGCACAAGCGGAAAAACGGTGTAGCTTTGTTTTTCAAGTTCTCGGTGCTTTGCAGTCCGCTTGTCAGCGCGAGGACTCGTAAAAATGCCTTTTCAGCCTATTTTTCATGGTGCATTGAGAAGACATGTTTGAATTGAGCCAAATGCTTAAATCCTTTTTGTATCTGTTCTCGCGATGTCTTCTGACCCATCCTCACCATGTATGACAAAGATGTTCGCTGAGTCCTCCTTTTCCACCCTGTATGATAAATGGACGTACTTTCCGTCATTTAAAAGGTGGTAGGCCAACGACCATTACTTCAGCATTTACATCCACTTGGAGGGCACTGACATTGGAACTCCGTGAGTTTAAGTCGTCCGCAAAAAGTAGACATGGAATTGAAAAGGACATATGGAAGATTGTTGTCGTAGATGAGAGATATAAGTAGCTCCGAAACAGCCTTGAGGAACTATAATCGAGACCGGCGCTTGGGAAGAGTAGGTCGAGGAAACTCACAAGGAATGTTCTGTCGGATAAAAACGCCTTAATCCAGCGTAGATTTTCCCCTGGAATCTCATAGGACTGGAGGTTTGTGGAGCAGCGGGACGTGTGGGACCCAATCAAATGCTTTTGAGTAGCCGAAAAATATGGCATCCGATATGAGTCACCCGTCCTTAGTTTGGGCAAACTGTCCATGAATACGAACATGTCCGTCGCGCAAGAACGGTTTGATAGGAATCCGTGTTGTATCAGAGATATCAGGTTTTTGTTGGTGCGGTGATTTAAGATGGCCTGCTCCAAAATGCGTTCCTTCACCTCACACGGTACGCCAGTGAGGCTGGTAGCTCTCAGGACATAGACGGCCACCGGTTTTGTAGATTTGTGTGATAATCACTTCCTCTTGATCAGGAGGAAGGTTGGTTTCCTCAAGCGACTAACGAAACACCGGGTAGAAATGCTTCGCCAAGGTGAGTGCTGCCATCGGTGGATGAAGTAAGGAGAAGTAAGGATGAACTTGTACCATCAGTAGCTCTCAGCCAGCGGGAATAATCTAGGTGTCTGGTGATGTTTGGCGTGAAGACGCGTCCATCCGCTCAGCTGTAGCTCTCTTTCGGTGCCTAGCTTCCATGCCACCGGAGGGGAGCACGAGGGCTGAATACTGCCAGGTTGTCCAGACCTGGACGGGGGAAGTCGAGATGTAGAGGTCGGGGTGGAACAACAAAACATCCGGTCAAGGAATTCGCACTCTAACCACTGAGCCATCTCGACATGTGTTTAAAGGTCGGGAGCTGTAAAAAGGCAATGCTCAATGCTCTTGACAGATGCAGCAAGCGCACTTTAAGCAATGTGTTTAAAGGTCGGGAGCTGTAAAAAGACAATGCTCAATGCTCTTGACAGGTGCAGCAAGCGCAGTTTATTCGTCATACAGAGTCAGGTGTGAAATTCGTAAGTGTGTAAAGCGATCAAAGTGAGCAAACGCATATCACTGACTGCAGCTTTCGGAAGTCCAATTCGAACAACAGCTTTGACCGATTGAGGAAAGCAGATACCTCTCCTTGAAATGGTCATCGGTTCTTGAACCAAAAAATCTGGCCACAGTGATCACACAGGATGTTCGTAGCATTCGTCCTCTAACTCCTCAAGAGAGTTGATCACTGCTGTCTTCATAACAGCAGGGATTAGCTAATCGAGGATAGTCCGCAGCAAAATCGCATAATCGAGTAACCGGTCACGAATCAGGGTTATTGAAGTTAGAGGTAAAACTTAATCAAGGGTAACTCAGGCGTGTACTACGCACACCCAACCACTATCTACCAAACTAGCTTTTCGCTCCAAATCTCTGTTGCTGAAGACTTCGTGAAGGACCTGCTATGACATAACAATCCGAAACGGAAGCGACCACAGGCTTTCTGCATGCTATGAGTGGAGACTACGGACGTGATATTCAACCCATCTCCTGCCCGACTCCAGTTAAGGTATTTCATGTTCTGAACTCGCCTCAGATGAAGACCGCAAAGGATGACTTCTTAATCCAGGTGGTGGCGGATCGCCCCGAAATATTCCTCGGGTGTATTGATTACAGCTCTTCCCTAAAGTATAGGTGACTGTAACTGTTTCCCCTAGGGATATTCTCACCGCTGTGCCCTATTTCCACTATCTGCTGGGGCTTTTTTCCTTCTTGGTAGCGCGGGAGTTATGCGCCGGTATTTACTATTTCTACATTGCAAACCATGACGACCATGTGCGCTCCTGGATCAGACGTTTGCGGTTCTGCAATTAGTGTGCATAAAGCCGGTCGGGCTTCCGCTGCTTGTTCCTGAAGAGGCCATTGTGTTTGTATTGTTACTTCCTATCTATAACCTTATGAGGATAGTGTCCCTCCACTGATCACTCCGCGTTTATTTCTCATATGGCTATATTTGTATCCGTTTCACCCTAAGATCTCTCGGAATCACATCAAACCGTCCTTGGACGATTTTGGTGGAATAATCCAGACATATGTTAGAACCGTTCCTAGAATATCCCAACAGCACCTATCAGTTCCCGATGTGCTGCTAAGGTGTTCTAAGAGGCGAAAACCCCTCGCGTGCGCGCAACACTGTGCACTACTTTTCGGAATCCAAGCCACAATAGGCTCTTGTTTTCTATCAAACTACCACTTTGAAATAATCCTGGGGTACTTTACTTTGACCTCAAGCGATTTTATAAGGGAAAGGTATACAGTCTCTTTCAAGGCGGTTTAAATGTGCTGGGTGTATCCGTTTTTGTCTTGACTCTTTCCTTCTCTTTTCAGATTGTGGTGGATTTTCCGAGGAAATTTCTCTCTCGCGAAGCTCCTCTTCGTCAGTTTTCTCTTTCATCAGCCACATTGTATGGTACACCCAATGGAGTTGCAAGGTATTGATTTGGGATTTCCGGCGGTTCCGGCTTTTTTGACCAAGTTACGTCTACTTGTCGATGACGAAGATACCAAAGATATCATCTATTGGGATCCGGTAATGTCGTCTTACCGTATCAACCATATTTTTTTCAGAGTGGAAATAGCTTTCATATAAGTGATGGAAATCGACTGGCCAAGGAAGTGCTACCCTTATTTTTCAAGCATAACAATCTTTCTAGTTTCATCAGACAACTCAACATGTGTAAGTCTGTTCCCAGTTTCACCCATTTCCTCTTAGATGGCTTCCGCAAGGTGAACCGCATTGATCCTTGCCCGGCACTGAAAATGGATGTGGAGGATATGGAGTTTAGGCATCCTTTTTTTGTTCGCCAGAAACCTCACCTTCTTTCCAAAATACAACGCAAACCCACATCGACTCTTTATAACGGACGTTTTTTCATTCATCCTTCAATGACGAATGTCAACCATAATCAGACACAATCAGCATTCGCAAATAGTGGTGAATTTCCACAAAGCATCCCTGTTGCTTCCGAGTTTATGAGGCTGTCGGGTGTAGTTCGGACGTTGCGTAACAACCAGGAGATGATTGCACAGCAAGTGAATTTTCTAAAGTCAGAGAATCAGTTGCTCGCCAGTGAGCTCCACGATCTTCGGGAGCGATATGTCCATCAGTCCCAGCTGATACAAACGGTAGGTGATATAAGAGCCTTTCACTCTTACTGACCCTGCATTTCAGCTCTTTAGTTTTTTGTCGGCCTTCGCCAAAGATGGACGTTCTCAAAACTATCGATTCAGTCCTAAACGGAAGGCATTACCATTTTCGGTTTCCAGTGTCATTCCCGCGAATGCTCGTTCAGGATTGAAGTTGAATTTGCCGAAAGGTAAGATACTTTCATCGTTGTATGGTTGTGGCATAACTATCACTTGTTTGTATCCACAACACTCATTTGGACTGGCCTCTCCTTTCTTGGTACCATAAAAACAACATTGTTATCATTTTTGAAAGAGGAGGAAGGGGCACAACTGTCACCACGAAAAGCTGACCTAGGCTATGTAATCCGTTGGCGTCTGTTTCGCACCCACAAAGTTCGAAATCAGGCTGTGAGACTACAGTTTTCGGACATGTCTTTAAGAATTCAAGAATAGTTACTGGAGCTTGTAGAACACCACAGGAGGCTCTAAGGTTGCATTAGCTCTAACGGCAGTGTGATAAACAAAGTGAGCGCACCGGCCGGAATTGTGTGTCACTTTTCGCCAACTATGGAATCAAAAAGGCATACCACGGGGTCACAAAGGAAGCCATCATTGCAGGACCGCGAGTGACGCTTTGGGGTAAAGAATTTGATGCTTGATTTCAAATTAAGCTGGCTGCTCCAAGCTCTACTCAGACTGAGTAACGTATCGTTTTCCGCGACCGTTCTAGAGTGGCGTAAACTGGTAAGTGAAAAGGATACGACAGGACCAAAAGCAGTGAAAGATACTAAAAGTCTGGATACTGTTGGTTGTCTTTGGCTTTCGGCGCGGAGCCTGCGTGGTTTTCCTTTTACTTGCCAGGAGAGCGAGGAATATGGCTGCTTGCCGATATCAGTGGATTTCAAGCTATCACTTTGTTTGGCGGATTCGCCGCTCACGTATTTGTGTTTAGCTATCCCTAGGTTCTGTTTTTCGTTTCTCCATTGTAGGATTTTCGTTCAAACAGACTGACCGTGCTGTACGGCTGTGGAGCGTCAGGGTTTTTGTAACTGTTGCTTTGAATGGTCATGTCTGGTATGTGGTCATTGCATATATTGCTTGGTAGATGTGTCACTTCCTGGAAGTAGATTCTGACTGCTGGTTATTCCGAGTTGCCATCTGCCTAGAACGGCATTGTTTTCATTGCCTTCTTCGAAGTTGTGTACATCCGACGATGAAAAAAGAGGGTGTTACGAGAAGTTTAGATGCCTTTGGTGCTGTTTACCATCTAGGATGAAGTCCAAGTGATCTGCTCTGTGCTTGACTGGAGACACTGAACGATATGACAGCTACCTCTGTCAGGAATATGGCTGCTTGCCGATATCAGTGGATTTCAAGCTATCACTTTGTTTGGCGGATTCGCCGCTCACGTATTTGTGTTTAGCTATCCCTAGGTTCTGTTTTTCGTTTCTCCATTGTAGGATTTTCGTTCAAACAGACTGACCGTGCTGTACGGCTGTGGAGCGTCAGGGTTTTTGTAACTGTTGCTTTGAATGGTCATGTCTGGTATGTGGTCATTGCATATATTGCTTGGTAGATGTGTCACTTCCTGGAAGTAGATTCTGACTGCTGGTTATTCCGAGTTGCCATCTGCCTAGAACGGCATTGTTTTCATTGCCTTCTTCGAAGTTGTGTACATCCGACGATGAAAAAAGAGGGTGTTACGAGAAGTTTAGATGCCTTTGGTGCTGTTTACCATCTAGGATGAAGTCCAAGTGATCTGCTCTGTGCTTGACTGGAGACACTGAACGATATGACAGCTAACCTCTGTCAGGCGCGTTCATGCCACTAGTTTTTACCACATTGTCTGACTGAGTGTTGGAGGTATAGTCACTTCAGATGTTTGCTAAGTGAGTCCTAGTTCCCCCTTCCTCTCCCATTTTTCCGATATGCGGCCGTCAAGCTTTAGTGTTCCCCTCTGGTGTTGCTGACAGTGTTGTTGCTGCTGATTATTCTAACTAGGACCCCTCATTCAACACATCGATTTTTTCGGCGGATCCTTGTGTAATACGCTAGTTGCACTGCGGTTACTCCAAGCTTTATTTTTCAAATTGTTCCCACTAATGCTTTAACGAAATTCAGGTACATTGGTTTCCGTCATATGAGACTCTCCAGATGTTCGGAGTGTGATTGTAACATTTAAGTACATGTTTACTTTGGTAGCAAAGTTAGCCCCATTACTGGACTGGATTATGGAACCCTCCACCCGAGACAAGTCCAGTTCTCTGGAAAGTTCACTGCAATGATGCTGGTCAGTTTTGTCTTAGTATTCCCTGCTTCCCTACATAAAGAGCTACAATATCCCCCTTATCTCATGATGGTTTTCTCTTCTACCAGGGTGTATTATAACCCAGAGGCTCGAAGTTACACTGATGTATTGTTTCTCGATCCTTACTGCTTATCGAAGCTTTAAAATGGAGGGGAATTTCGCGCTCTACAAGCTTGGGCTCATGGTGGAGCGTAAACTTGTTGGGCCGCTCATTGTAAACTATTTAGACAAAATGTACCATATTACAAAGTCTGAACGCGGTGCATTGTCTTTTTCTGTCCTTTCCTCCACTGAGTTCCTTCCCCCATATTTCCTTAGCCGTTTGAATCCAAGATCATTAATTTTCAGCGTTTATGTGTCTGCATGTCCCAGAGTAGAGTGGTGGATATTGAAGACTTACCGAGTGCTTTTACCGGTCAGACTTCACTATAAATAGTTTGGTTAACGGAGTTTAACGCCGACTTTGATGTTTTTGAGGACCGTTAACGAACCCATTCATCGGTGGCCCGGATAAATTGTCGCTGGCGTCTAACAGATGTCATTGACATTGGTGCTGCCATTTTATTTTCAGATTGTCTAACTGAGCGTATGGAGTCAGACGCACGTCATGATGCTTACAATTAACTAGATGCAGGTCCCTTTTACGTCTATTCCTTTCTTACTTTAAGGCTTCAAACGTTTTTAAATAACTGGTTGTCTACTCCTTACTACTATTATTACTATTAGTAGCAGTATTAATATTCGAGAACCAGCATCAACAGAGACAGTAAAATCAGTAGTGACACTGCCGTTTAGTTCCAGATTTTTCTACTCCAACTAAACGGCAGTGTCATTACTGATTTTACTGTCTCTGTTGATGCTGGTTCTCGAATATTACTACTACTACTAATAATAACAGTAGTAGGGATTAGACAATCCAGCCCATCAGTGGTTCTTGATCATCCGTCGTCCATCCTTTAGTATACCAGGAGGAAAATTGGTTCTTTCCAGAGTTTGTTCTCCCTAAGAAATCTCTAACTCGGGGGAATTAAGGCTGAAGTGAATCGTCAAGCTATCGCGCCTTTGCACCATGTGGTCACAGACAAGCTTGACGTGCAGCCCACAACTGGGCGAAGAACATTAGGGTCAGCAGTCCTGTTACCATTAGTGGCGGTGTTCGTGACGACGATAAGGATGAAGGTGATGGTATGTTTAGACGATGTTGTGCACTTATGAGTGCGTGGTGGCTTTTTTTAGGCAATTTTCTATGGGTTTTGTTGTGCTTGAGACGGCCTTGTGTGGATCTGGGGTTTTTGAAAGGCAATCACTTGTTTGCCTGTGGATAGTCTACTTTCCTGACAAATTCCTCATGAGAGAAATCACTCGCGTTTTTTACTACCTCCACCTATTCCTGAGCTAGCTAGGTGAAGTACTTCTGTGAAGGTCACTCATGGACGTTCAGGTGCACGGTTGTCATTGCTCTACAATTGTCTCACCTTAGAGAGACTACCCTCCGGAAACTACTACTTCTTGCCAGTCCTTTGCAATACACTTATCTGATTTCTTCCCACTTGTGATTGATTCATCGCGTTGATCTCCGACGAGGAACATTTGTATTCCTTCTGTCTAGGCTTGGGCAACCTGGCAGTATCCCAGCCCTCGTGCAACCTTCGGGTGGCATGGCAGCTAGGCAACGAAAGGATGCTACAGCCGAACGATTTTTTTAAATTTTTTCCTTCTGTCCAAACAATCCCTCCGTACGACTTGGAATTCGCATTGGAATCTCAAAATGTACACTGCTGTTGGGTTTCAACCCTACTCGTGGACATCTGACGTGGTAAAAGTTAACTGAGTGGGCGCCTAACTCTAGCTCATTGACCAGCTCACTCCTCAAATCGAGATTCAGACAAGTGCCTGTTTGATAGCGCACAACGCTACGGTATGTCCGTTTCTGTTTTGTGCGACCAACTACTGATTACTCTTCGTGAAAGATGTGTGAAAATATTCATTCTTTAGCTATCAATACTTCGGAAGCTTGTCAGGTACAGTGAACCGGCAATGACCAGATATCCCAGACATCTCAGAGAAGCAAATCGTTCGTCTAACTGTTTCCGTAGAAAAAAAATGATAGCGTCCAGCTTAGTAAACAACCAACTCATGCATTGTTGAGACCTTACTGAATACCAATTCATCATGAGTATTGCTCGCCTAGTCGCTTCCCGTCAACGGCGACAACGACTTATCAGTTTTGCCCACTTTGTCTCAGCAGCAGATTGCATCATGGGGAATGCGTAGCTTGCTCATCCCACTTTCGTTCTAAAATATTTCAGGGTTTCTATTGGACGATCCATCCAGTTTCCAGTCCATAAAGATTGCCCCATCAGATGAGTTGCACGAGACTCCATTCAAATTGGCCAAAGTGGATAACAGTGCATTGGTAACACTGACGAACCCGTCGTTGGACTCGAGTTTTGCCCTCGAAGGTGCAGGCCCGAGCACCAGCAGAACACTACAGTACATTCCATCCCCAACACTTTTGTCGGTAAACGATTTGTCCCTGCCGGATAACAAGTTCGTTTTATCTCCTTTGCCTGAAATTGACCCGGGTTCAAAGCAATCTGCAGATCCAGTTCCCGGGAAACCAAACAACCTAGCCGTACTGCCTTTGGTCGCGACAGATGTGCAGCAGTTGGGTCCTGTCGGCGGTGTGCAACAAGCGAGACCGAATATGAAGGTTGGTTTGTTTAAAGCCCTTTAATTTGTTCCTCCTGTGTAGCTTCACCCCTGCTCAGTTTCCTTGAATTTCTCGATTTCGTATTTCTAGTATCCCTCATTCTCACCAGCTGCTGGTCATTACAAAATTTGACTACTCATAATTCGTTCTGTTGTTTCATCCCTATCCTACTTTTCACACCGATACCTTTCTGCTTCTCCTTGAATTCCCATTGTCCATGTAATATCATCATCTCATCAAATCACCTGTAGCACCTTTTCGTTGCCTAACTGCCACGCCACCCGAAGGAAGCACGAGGTCTGGGATACTGCTAGGTTGCCCAAGTCTAGACAAGGGAAGTCGAGAGACAGAGGTCGGTTTCGAACCACAGACCTTCCGGTCATTAAATTCGCCATCTTGCCCCCAGGTGGCTGTGCTCTGAGACTGACTTAGCTTAGTACTCACCACAGTTATTGCAGCACAGCACGTGTTACCGATGCGCGCTGTTAGTAGTGTAGTCAATATATATTTTGAATGGTCACTTTCCCAGTCAGCCGGCCGTTGCGTTTGAATGATTGATTTTCAGGTGGCACGCCTAGTTTGGTGCCAAGTAGTCGGAAAGTTCCAGGTCGTATTCATTTCCTGAAAGTTGATGTCATTGATTGTTTCGCTGTTTCCATTCCCCTTTTTTGTCCGTTTGACAATAATAAAACAGGGGGCGAATTTACTGACCGGAAGGCCCGTGGTTCGAAACCGACCTTTGTCTCTCGACTTCCTCTGTCTAGGCTTGGGCAACCTGGCAGTATCCCAGCCTTCGTGCTTCCTTCGGGTGGCATGGCAGTTAGGCACCGAAAGGGTGCTAAAGCTGAACGATTATTAGTATTAGCTTAATAGTAAGGTAGACGTCCAACTGATTTCCCCTTATAGTGATAGGCTTCATAGATGGGAGCTATGCATCGGTACAAACTGACCGTTATAGATGAAAAGCAGCGACTGTTCAGCCTCGAGTGATTCATCACCAAAGTACTACCAACGAGATATTCAGTCATGTAAGGGAGAACAGACTTCCAGTAGGCTTCATCACTAACAGACACTAACAAGTTGAATTTGGGTCGTGATCTTAAAATAGAAATGGTGTCAGGTAAAGTGGGTTCGCTGTGGGTTTTTGACTATCCGAAAGAACTTTCGGCGAAAAATTTAAGCAAGTTTTATGCCGTTCGCTGACTATAAAATTAACAAGGCAGTTCTTGAAATTCCGTTGGGTTTCGAAACACGCTTCGATGGTCTTCCTGTCCAGGTTCTTCTCAAGGAACTTCAGCGTGAGGTTTTTTGATGCAGATAACCTTAGTCTGACTAAACACGAGCCGTCAAACTCTGGCGGAGGTTGTCCCATTGTGACAGTCGCTATTTTTTTGGGTGAGTCAGTCCCAAATATTTCACGGTGCTGAATTTTCGGTGCTGCTAGTTTGAGCTGTGTAGACCCTTCGCGCTTTCTGAGGTTGGATCTACCTAACTGTACAGGACATGGCACTCAAACAATGCCAGTGGTAAGTTTTATTCCTTAACCGGACCGCCTGTCGGTTCTCACTACTGGTATGTTGCTGTCCATGAGAATGCCTGTGATTGGGTATATGGTTACACCTGATGGGAACCCTGGGTGATGAATGGACTAAGGACACTAACGAATCATCCGTTTGCGATCATTTATCTACAGCAGCCCTTATACGCATGTCTCGATTCAGCACGCAAGCATATTAGATATCTGAAGTTTTGTCTTTTTCGCATGAGCTTTCTTTGTGTCGTTCACAAAAATGGTGTTGAAAATACCGTAGAAAAGACGGTACATTTTTACTCCCTCCCGATAGAAAGTACCGCTTTTAGTGAGACGTTCTGTCATCCTCGAAGCTGTTTGTCACTTGAAAAAAGTTTTCTATTTTTCCGTTTGACAACCGTTCGACGTGTATTTTCAACAATGTCCAATTAGGTGCGGATTACACATGGGGCAATTAAGCCATGAAAATTACACTAGCTATTGTTAACATCTCGCAACTGTGCTGAGACACGCACAAGGCTGGTGCCGCGGATATTTTCTGCCTTACCAACCTGGCAAGCATTTATACGTAATCTGAGGAATTACACTACTTCAACACTATCAAATCAATAGACACAAATAGCGCTGGTGACCATTGTTTTGCCATTTTCTTGAGTCGTTCTTGTGGCGAACCCTAGCGTTATATCGGCTCTGACTGAGCGTCCAGAGACAGTCCCTTCGTATCAATATCCATTCTTTTACAAACGAAAAGTATGACGTCGAACATGCGTTGTATAGGCGGTTTCGTGCGCTTTGTGTTCAACATAGCATTCTCTATGACACTCGATATTTCAGTCGGTTCTGTCTTCACATGCAACTCCACGGCCACATTTCTAGGAAATTTTCTGACGTTTCTGTCGTTTCAAATCTCACGGCATTTTGAAATAACTCTGTGTTTGCTGTTTAACCAAAAGCGAATGTTTGCTGAAACGGACCGGACTTTGGCGTCCTTGACTCAAGGCTTGTCGCCACCTGCTGGCACCGAAAAGGCCAATGAGACCCTCGCTGGCTCGGAAAATATGGCCTTCGACCTAAATTTGAGTCGCTGCACCACGCCGGCATCTCTCATTCAACCGGATTCCCTGGACATTGCTGAATTCTTTGCCACCCGCGATGACAATGTGTCGGATATCAGCCTGGAGGATCTGTTTCTCGCCTCCACCAACGGCGCAGATATATCTGCAAACAGTCGTCCTTCTAAACTTACCCCAAAGGTGGATAAAACAGTGAGCATCAGTCCACGATCCGGCAGGAGTTCGGTGGACAGTGAAGCTACTATGTGAGTACCTTGTTTTCTCTTGACCATTTTCTCGTAGATCTACCGCCATAATGTGTGTGTGCTCTCCCTTACGGTGTAGCCAGGCTGTCCTAATCTGTCAGCTATGTGTGTGTGTCCTTGGTGGTTTTGTGTGCATCTTAAACTACAGTCTCTCTAGTGATGAGACTGTCCATCACTTGTGGGTAGTAGTAACAGTAACAGTGATGACTGCTTGTCCTGTCAGCGTTTTACACTTCTGGTTTTTCTATCGCTTCCTCGGGATATATCACGCATTTCCAATCAAGTCATCTTTTGGTCTCAGTGGATGCTAGACGTAGATTCTTCGGTACCATTGTTGGTTGTAGTTCAATAGATACCTTATACCCCGACTGCTGTGACCTGGGTAACTGTGCAATGTGTTGCATTGAGACTATTCGGCCTATTGATCTCTCAAGCGGTAATGCATTTCTATGTTCATTTATTTGCAGTCCTTTTGAAGACTTGAACCTGGATCACCAGCTGCGTACTCCTGAGATACAGTCAAATGCACCTGAATCGTCAAATATTCTGCGCTCTGCCTTGACAAAGCTTGATCCGTCCTTGGAGAAATCCGAGCTCAGCACTGTCACCCCAGCTGTTTCTGTGGCACCATCGGCAACTGCAGGAAAATTGACAACACAGCCTATGGATGATCAGGTTGCCCCGGCGGAGCAGCGTATCTCGCTGCTGGTCGATTCGACACAATCGGCCGATGAAGTGTTGCAAGAAGAGGGCTCACTGGCTGTGGACGACCAAGAACTGTTCGGATTACCTTGGGAAGAACAAGAGGTAGTTGTTGAAGATGAAGAACATCAATTGGGTGATAACGTGGATCAATTCAGTACCGATTTGTTGCCTGTAACTGAACAGTCTAATGCACGCCTGAAAGCGTTCTCAACACCTAGGGAGGTTACGATCAACCACACCTCTACTCTGCCTCGGGCCGCTAACAAATTCGATCACAATCTCATCATAGGTGAGTTGAACATTCTGTGTCTCGTGTTTGTCGGTAGTTCTAGTAGTAGTCGAGTTTCCCCCACTTTTTACCACTTGTATTCTCTGTTTTTACCTGAGTTTTGATCTCAGAAAATCTCTCTTATCTTTTCTCGGACTCGAACGAAACTACAAGCATCATCACCATCATCGACATCATGACATCAGTGTTCAACACCGATGCGTCACTGCCGTACAACCATGGTTTATTTGAAAGCCTTATTGTAAAGAAAAGAGCAAAGGTGGACGGGAGAGGGACTTAGTGCTAGCTTAACACAATCATTCCGAGGTGCCTACACCTCCAGACATTCACTCAGGCCATCTGGATGGAAACCGACAACAAGAACACCACTGAAATCGGTTGGCAGACATATCTTGTGGTGTCTCCAACCAGGCACAGTGAGGATCATGCGGTCCCCATCCTGGAAGGCGAGTAGCACTCAAGCGTTCCTTGATCTCCTTCATACTCCTCTGCCAAGTCAAGGGTTGGCTGCCTCTCTGTTTACGCCACTGTATTGGGCATAGAAAACAGCACTCTTCGGCAAACGATGGTTCGGCATACTCAACACATGTCCCAACCAACGCAGCTTCTGGTGCTGGATACATTCTTCAATGGAAGTACCCGTTACACAACCGAAAACGCGCTTTCTAATTGCCTCATTAAGGATTTGCCGATAATAATCCACACGAGCTATGGCTCTGAGACAAAGAACACCTGAAGACGTCTCAGTTCCGCTGCTCGAATAGGCCAAGTCTCACAGCCATACAGCAAAACAGCCCGCACTATAGCTTGATACACACTTCCCTTCAGATTCAGGGATAAACCACTCTGACGCCATACGTGTCTCAATTTAGCAAACTACAAGCGTGACACTGTATATGTGACGCAATTTGAAGTAAGCACGTTGACTGAGATACAGTGGTGTTCCAAGCAACCCTGTTTTCCGCCCTGAGCTATTTCGAGTTCACATGTATCACTTTTGTTCATTATAACCAAAAGCTGTCCGCTTTTCTACGGTAAGGGTTCGATCCCAACTCCGTGAATTTCTCTTGGGGTCACCACACGATAAGTTCTCATGGGACTCGTTCCTGTCCGACCTCCGGTCACGGAGAACGCGCCCATCCTTCTTGTTAAGAACGCCAACTTGTAAGGGCCGTTCCTCTACTCTCGAAAGTTTCAGGTCCTCTAAAAGGGCGAGGAACCTTGTGAAAGCCACTTCCACATGAAACCGCTTGGTTGTACAATTCGTTCATTCCTGCAGACTTGAGCAAGTGCCAAAACAGCTGGCATCGGATTTTTTCGTATCGATTAGATATTTAGTTACGGATCTGAATGTGTCAAACCACCTATTATGCTCACGAAACTACTCAGAAAGTTGTTGTAAACTCTCCCACCATTTTGGGTTCGAGTGTAAAATAAGATTGAAGGAGATTGGAGATGGCGGCTACCAGATCTCGGCCCCACTAAGGAAGAAAACGATCGTGAGCTGTCGAAGATTTTTCAGCAACCTTATGAGTAGTTTCTTTGATGAAAATATACTGCGATATCGCGAATACCGTACCAACTGCAACATGATGCGGCCTTTGTGCAACACTTTCAGTTGATTAAGAACATCATAGATGAGAGATTCAGCTGGGTTTCAGGTGAGTATCCCGTGAAAATCATTTTGAAATACCAATGAGTATATTTGTCACCGTTTGTGCTCTACAAGTGCTCATTGTTCGCAGACTTTCCATTATTAGAAACTATGAACCACCGCATGACGGACTCTTTCTACCGTAAGCCCGAAGGGACTCTTTCTCTGTTGTATCTTCAATGTGCAGTAGAAAATCGACTGAGAATTCTGACACTATATTGGTAGGGTTGCATTTTACTTGCCTTTTTGTGGGTACACTAAAACGCCATCAAATTCAACAATTTGTCGACGGTTGTGGCTTTCACCAACGGTATGTCGACAGCGTATTCTTGATGACGAAGCAATATATCATTTAATCACTCTCGCACGAATTTAACGAGGCTGTCTCGTCAAACTGCTCAACGTATGCAGCTAGAGATCTAAGCAAGTTTAACTGACTCCACGTGCAATCGGTTGGGCAGTCGGACGGTTCCGTAGAAAGGTTGGAGTACTGACAACCTTACAACCCTTACAAGAGAAGCAAGAATGATGTGTCTAGATGACACCAGATAAAGCGGACAGTCCTATCAGCGCGCTAAAAGAAAACGGGTACCTGATGAGCTTCGTGGAGAAAAAATAACCAATTCACCAAACCAACCGCCTACAGGGAGTGAAGAAACCTGTCTTTCCACAACCCTGTTTCAGGAGAGACTTTCTCGACCGAACAGGTGGACCGTGCTCTAAAACGCTCGCTGCACCGGACATTTTTAGTTATTATTCAACTGACCATCATCAATCTCAACCTGAAAGGCATGCCCCCCTGTGCAGGAGTGGTCTGTGATTGTGTTCCCCTCTCCCTCCGCTGTGCGAAAGACCATGTTCTTCGGAAAAAAGAAGCGCTTGGTAGAGTGGGTTTGAGAGAACCATCTAACTTGGTTTGAAAAGTGCCTGATGAATAATATTTCAAGCATGCTTGGTGCTCACTTAATCTAAACCAAACACTAAATATATGTGAATTCCGGTTTCGAATTCGTCTACCGGGTTCGCAGAAGCAGTTAAACATCATGCGATAGCTAAAATAGAATCGATCCTTATCAGCTTTCATCCAAGACAGGTGCACACACATACTACACTTGTTCGGACACCGAGCGGAAATTCCAGGCGTTTCCACATAGCGACAACAAAACCGCGTCACGTGACTCCCACTGACTCCACACATTTTTGTCATTTCAGTCACGATTTCCTCCTTTACACGAAGCTGATCTCTGCCGAAAGCCAAGAACTAGTCCGCAGTTGTTCGGGGATCTCATCACCGGTGCATGTCTTCAAACCCGCGATGTCGCGGTTAGCAGTTGAAGACTAAAGCGTCTGATCACGAACGTGTACATGTATATACGGTTTAATTGCAAACCTTTTGCAGTTTCCAGTTCTTTCAATGCGTGCGACTCCATATTCTTGGGAAAATAAGACACCAAATTTGTCTTTCTCAGCCAGCCGGTATGAAATAAATGGTGGAAATCAATGCATGCTTCCCTGGTGACAGGATTCAGCGCTGAAGATATCTGCCGGTTTTTGCTCCGTTCAACGGTAGTTACAGCCAAACCCTCGTGTAAATTTCTTGTGTGGTATTACGATCTTCAATCATTTATATTCCCCCAGAGATAATGGACACTGAGCTGTTGTGTCAGTTCACTGTAAGATGACGTAAATAGAGCAAGTCGTTGAGTTGCCTGACTTTATTCGTGTGGGCGTATTATGTACACATAGTATCGTTTCGGCATATGAGTTGCACATCGCCACCTATTAACATAAGCAAAATAACGCTTTGATAAATCCACGAGATCCTTTCTACGTAGCTTTCAACATCCGTGCTCTGTACCAATTTGGCAAACAGGTAATGCCCACTGAGACCCTATAATCCCTTAAAATTGATGCATGCTGCGTCTCTGAAACACGCCAGGCGTGATCATGCATCTCAGAACACCAAGTACGAACTCAGCTCCTTCATATTCTTCCCTCCGTGTATTCGGTGATCCAAAAGCGACGACATGTGAAATATATGACGTGGCAGTTGCTCTCAACCCTAGATCTGAACGCGCTTTGTTGGATTAGATTCCAGTGAAAAATCGGGCCTCTGTATCATCCCCTGCTGTCTAGCGAAAGACGATATCCCCATCCAAATTTCGAAGTCCAGAGCAGCTTTCGTGAATCTGCATCACCTGTGGCCTACAATGATATCGGTTTATCCGTCAAGCGTTGCGCTCCATATTATTATGTGGGTCGCTGTGCACCGAGGACGCCAAAAGACTTTCAGTGTTTGACCTCCGATGTCTTCAGGTCATTGCCCGAGTCCGGTGGGAAGAACGCCTCACTAATGCTCAAGTACGCCGGATGGTTTTCGGAAGAAATAACTCGCCCATGATAGATGAACTGATCACACTCCATAGGTTGCGCTGTCTTGGCCACGTGCTCCGTGTACCAGTCAGCCGACTTCCTCGAAGTGTTTTTTTTTCGCAAAACCACGTGAAAGGTGGAAACAAGCCGGTAATTGTCAAACAATGACTTGGCACTGAAGTACGAAAGCCAGTATACTGAGCTGTGGTGGCCATTGCCGTTTCTCTGGATGGGGACACATTAATGGTTAGAGACATTATTAGGCATGGCCCAGTCGATTCCTCACTGGCGCACGTGCATCCAACCTATTGCCTTCAATGCATGGCTCCCTTCCCAATCCCCCTTTAACAACCCACTGACAGTGCTGTATTTGCGCACCAATTTATCAGCTCCCGTCTTCATTGCGTAGCTACTTACCTCAGCTCCCCAAATCATCGGTAAACGAAACTGTGGCAGATAGAACCGCTGTACGGCAAGTCACATTTCTTACGGCTGATAATGAGTCTTTGTTTGGGTCACATACTGATGCGGTTTCAGTTTCGGGAGCAAAGCGATGTTCGTAATTTGCAAAGCCCATTACCATTTGAAATACTAAGTCAAGAATTTCGCCTTTAACGTCCTGAATATCCGCCACAGCACGTATAGTTAGAGTGGTGAATGTGGTAATGGTAGTGTGCACATGTGTGATAGTTTATGTGGTATCCGGTCTGCGTATCTGCTTGTTTGTGTCTACTAACCGGTGAACTGCGTCGTGCTCCAGTTCCACACCATAAATTCAGAGGAATTTCTAGTCCCAGAAACAACGGTCTCATGTCTTCAGTTCCCTTGAGGACTGTTATTTCTCGTAAAATGTGCATGGAAACTATAGTCAGTCCTACATTTCTCCTTTTTTTTCGGTCACCGGTTCTCACATATTTCACTTTGTTTCAGGTAGTGAAATTATCCCCGCGGAAGCCGCTCTCCCCTTTGCCAACGTCCCAACGACCATCGCTCATTTCATGCAGCCCACAAATATACGTCCAGTTTCTCCAACCTCTCAACCTACCCTTGGTGTGACCAATGTACCTACTTTACCCAGACAGAATCACGTTATTCTAAATCAGTCTCAAACGAGATTGGTTCAAACTACCGTCCCCAAATCAGTTACCTCAATTCCGTCCAACCAATGCTTCGTACAGGCAACCTCACTGTGCCAACCGGTACTGGCCACACCCATCGCACTACCCGCACAGTTGTTGTCCTTAAGACCCTTATCCATCGGTCACTCTACTCCGGTTTATATGCATGCTCCTCGTCAAAGTCGAGTTCCCGAACGGAGGCAGCGTCCAACCTACCGCGCGATTGCCCCTGCAGTAAAATCCACCACCCCACCCGCGAACACGAACAA